TTCTTTTTGGGGTACTACTTTGCATCAAAAAAGGCGACAAATTCAGATGTAATATTTTTTTTGTTTGTTTTTTTTATTTCTTGGTTTTCTAGTAATTGCGGTGCTAACTTGATGTCCAGTTAGCCAATTGTTTATAGCAGGGTAAAATGAAGAGCGACAATTCTTTTGCGTAACAAATTAGCAACAAAAAAGCAACAAATTTTGAGTTTAATTCCAATTTTTTGAAAACTTTACTATGCTACTTTTACGGACCTCAAGTGAAGGACGTCCGGTAATTCCAAATCCGGCGCGGCACTGGAACTAAGGTAGACAACTTTGCGAATGATGTTACCACGTTCACTAATACTGATTGGCTCGCTACCCTTTTTCACTTTATACTTTCTGCTCCATCTCCGCTGTTGCTGCTAGTGATCATTCTTGAGCTACTAAATCACCTGTTTACAGGACTTGTTCGAAGGATGACCGGGTAAAAATCGGAATTATTTGGAAACACTATTTTTCATGATAAATTCAGTTCTATTCTCGGTTATAGAGGGTATGAGAACGTATGCTCCAACTATCGCACCAGTAATGTGATTTGTGAAATAATGTACACAAGTGATGCTGCAGAATGGCACAGACTTTCTCGAACTAGTTCGTTTCCTTATTTCTTTGCTCTGGGTTATATTTTCGGTTTTACTCAACTCTTTCCCAGCTGCCATCCATTGCCACCTTTTCCTCATTTTTTTTTCTTCAGTTTTTAGGTTCCCTAATGATAGAACCGAAACATGACTAAGAATACTATAGAAATGTAAAACCTGGTCATACGGACATTTTCGTTGAAAATTTTTAAGATACTAACGTTTGAGTGTTTCTGAAAATGTAGAACTACGAACTGAATTTCTCAGAATACTTTTGAATTTTCGAGGAACTTTATGAGTAGAGACCGGATTTTTATGTAATTACATATTTTTTGTCTTTTTTCTTACCGACCTAAAAATGTTTATCTTGGCGAATCGTCGCCGTCCTAACAGAAATCAATTTGTTTCGTTACATTCTATTTAGTACTGTATTACTATTTTCACAAAAAAATATTCTATCAATTTTCGTCAAATTTGGGACTCATATTTAGGAAAAGAAGTATTAAAAAACACTCTTTATTTCCTACATCGTTACTGCGTGCTGTCTACTCGAGGTCCCCCTACATGAAGACGCGGAAGGGGGTTCTCATAGCCAAGCTCGTCTACATCAGTTATCTCAGTGGCGGGAAGTGCGCGTCGGTGACTGAGATCAGTTCCACCTTCAGGCGTGATAAGTATTACTGACGCCGCGTCTTGTGAACTTTAACCTTAATTTCCGAGAACCTTTGTTGATTGTCGACTTGTAACTCTTCACTGAGAATGCTGCACGTATTTGCTGGTCGTAAATATCGCCAGTTTGTATGATGGTTTCTATTGCGTCTAGTCTGGCTGCTAAACGACCGAAGTGAAATAGTAGTAGATGAAGATTTTACAACTGACGGGAAAGTTGTATGGCAGCATGCTTCAATTTGTACTCTCCAAGTTATTGTTAAAATGTTTGTATTATTTTTTTAAAATTATTTCGAATTTATTTATAATGTAATTGTGTATTATGTAAATATTAGTTTTAAAATTAGTATTTTAATATTACATATTTTATCCGATTTTAAACATTTATTACATACTTTTACGGTTTCATTGCATATTTATGTACACATTTTGACGTTTGATACTACATATTTTTCCGGTCTCTATTTATGAGACATTTAAGAGTACTCACAAATACAATACTGTATCCAGATCGCAGATAATGAATAATATTAAGGTCGCGAGAGAAATGTAAAAAAAAAACAATAGTGTGAGTTTTGAAAAAAACAACAAAAGAAAATAGCAATACGGCGTTTATGTCATCTTACACAGGACAATTAGTACCATCTCTAACAAACGTTTGAAAAGACATTTTGAGCCGTTTCTGAGTGAAGTCTTGTTTATAATATTTTTGTGATGCACATATTTCACGAAATATTACACAAAAACTACTAATACTTTCAAAGAAATGTGCATGACGTCAATGAAAGATCTAATTAGGGAAGACAAATTTTATTTGAAGAAAAAATCTCAATCTTCAATATCAGACCTATGCCGTGTTGAGAAAGATATTTCAATCTAATCTTACAACACATTTAAAGAAAAAATTTGGAGCCATTTTTGAAAATAAATAAATAAATAAAAGATATCCCAAGGGCGTCATTTCAAGTATCCTCAAATTTTAATCAATATTTTTCTAGGACGTAAAGAGTTGACACAGGCCAGATCAACCAGTGAATATTCATTTTTGATAAAATTCTAGGAATACGTGTAGTTTCGGCCCAAGAGTTGTTCACAGATGGGTAGCCGGACTGACGTTTTGAAGAAAGGAGTAAAAAAATCGGTATTAGGAAGGCCCCAAAGCAAGCATTTTGTTGAATCTCGAAATGGATTTTCCGCAACATTTCATGACTTTCTCTATACTACTATACTTTGAGAAAATCGGCTTAAATCTTTTGGCGATAGTGTTGACCACCGAGAGACAAGACAGATAGACGAACGGAAAGATTTATCGTTACACTTTTACGTTACCAGGGTTCGCAATATTCTGACTGTAAGAAATCTATGGTTACTTTAGATATCCAGGAACTCCAATTAGTGGTTGTCCAACAGCACTTACTTTCTCGCATCAGTAACAATTATATTAAGTTATAATGCCGCAATTTCTGTGCATAGTAACACTAAACATTAGAGTAAATACGTCTGCAAATTGAACCGTCTATTATATTCTTGAAGTCATAAATCAGTTCCACTATTAGTGGACAGACAAATTGTGAAAAAAATCTTTAGGTGCATATAGATAGTAGCTGGGGGGAAGTTGGAGTTAAGCCGAATTGCTAACTCAGTCTAAAGAGATAAGGGAGCCATCTAGTCCGAGAAAGTCTGTGTCATCCTGTAGCACCACTAATTTTATCCATTTCTGCTTTAAATGAATGTAATAATTTGTCTGCGAGATAAACTTTGTGCTGCATTTGTGTGTGCTTTCTTCTTCGGTTGATCTCTTCATTTTTAAAACGCACGACTCATCCAAAGATGTAATTATGTAAGATTACATATTTTTTATGGAAGTTTCGTCTCCTCCTTGTCAGTAGATTTGAATGCGAATGCCGTAAGGATCAGTCATAACGATTTCAACAATTTATGACAGAGTGGAAACGTACAAAATTGTATTGATAGCCTTAGAAACAGTGCTGACGCTGTCACCGGGTGGTCGCCCGGGAGCCCTGCAAGTCAAGAGGCACAATGGCGGGAAAATGATTAAAAATTTGAAAAAGAAATAAGAACGAAAGGAAATTTAATATCGTAATTTTATAAGTCGCGGTACAGTAGTGTGATATTTCAGAAAATTTTCAATTAATTGTTTACCTTAAATATGATTACATTCGTATACTGAAAGGTAGGACTATATGAAATGAATCAAATGCCGCTAACATTAAAATAGGTTTTACTGAGTTTATTATTTCGTGTATTTAACAGGAAATTTTATTAAACACTTATTTAAGCAACAATTTTTTAGAGTTTTAAGATCACCGTGGATATTGTAGTTTTTGATCACTACACATACACATCTTTCTTTTTCTCACATTTTTAATTTACATTGAGGGGGGCTACGATTCAGTATTGCCCCGGGCCCAAAAGTGTCTCCGGCATTGCTTAGACCTCCTTTCGTTACAGTCTCTTGAAATGAAGTTACACGGTCCTCCCTCATAGTCAGATAATTATGGGAGCAAACGATTGTCAAATTGAAATGAATAGAATGACAATGCTTGAAAATAAATTAATCAACTTAAATAATTTAAAAAAATAAAAAATAAAAAAACACACACATCTCCCCTTTAAATAAAACTATAGTGAAGGAGGAAGGTTTTGAATTATTTTTAAGTCACCATTAATGCAAAAATCTGGGGTGCAACATGCTACACTACTATTACGAATAATTCGGAAATGGAGCGTGTTAGGTTCAAAAATAAACCAACAAACTAGGTTTTCATATCCCTATTCGAGTTCTTTTTGTCGTAATTTACACATGACACCTTTTTGGGCATTCTATTACACTTTTAGAATATTTGACTTTTAAAACAATGATTTAAAAAATATGATTTGTTTTACAATGATTAAAATTGCATGGAAATTCGTAATATAGATCAAATCAATCAAAAGAATTAAATACGATACATCAAGTTCATGAACTCTTTTTAAATTCCAATCCTAGGTCGCCTCGAAAATGTCGGACTCGAATTAATCAACAGGTAGACTTTTTCCAAAATACCAAAAATAGTTCGTACATATTTGAGTCTACCTAAGTATTTCTGATGTTTCTCACCTTTGTAACTGTAATAGTTTGTTTCCCAAAACATAATATAATCAAAATGAAAACCAAAATTAACACCAGTTAATCAGAAAGGGATTGAAATGCAGATTGTGGCATGATTCGTTCACGTGAGGGTATATGTGGAGGAGAAAGCTTATGGGGCAAACAGGTGGCAACACAAATGGGGGCTTTCCTGGAAAACAGTAAGAAGATATACACGCCAAATGATTTTAAGGAGTCTTTGCCTAAAATTTGCAAATGTGCGTTTTACATTAAATGCGTTGGTAATTTTGCGTTGTACTGGACAGACTCCAGGATGGTTTATGTTAATGCGAAAGCCGAAGGAACGGGTCCCGCCCTCAACTGGGCACTGCAAAGCGAAGCGAAGCGTCATTTTGGCGGGGAAGTGGGTCGGCCGCGTCGCAAGCAACTCAGTCTCGGAGTCGACAACGCGCGTGAACGAATCGTGCCACACTGCGTTTCTACCACGATGTAAGAAATATATATCTTACATCGTGGCTTCTACCCAGGAATATAAAACACACGTTTTTTCCACTTCCCAAAACATTTTAACCGTTTCATACCAAATGGAAACAACAAACCAGAGGTCTACATCCTGACAGCAATTTCGCCATACGTCATACCAAGCTTACTGTCTCATGTAACACAAAGAAGCTTTTCAGTTTCATCAACAATCAGGATACTGAACAATATTGCTTCTTACTTCGGAAACAATAGCAGCCATTCTTATTAACTATAAAAACAAATAAAAGGAAAGCAGCATGTGAGATTTGGAAGAAACAAATTCTGTTGAGAAGCAAAGCAAGGGGGCTTCTGGCATTTTTTCTCAATGCGCGAAGTGAAACAAAAACCTGATAGACATGGGAGGTCATTGACCTGTAAGCGGTAGATTACAATGGTTGATACTGGCATATTCATTCTTAGAATTATCCAATACCATAATGAAAGTTAGTACTACCATTACAAAGTAATATTTTTCACTTTTGACACTGAGTAGTGAAATTGACGGGGTCCCCTTGAATTTAGAAATCGCTTCTCAAATAACTAAGGTTGCCCTTTTCTCACATGTATTACGTGTATACGCCGACTAAATGAAAATAACGTACCTGGTTTGGAACCTCTGGCTCGAGTACAATGATTCAAAAGATGAGGGAATAACTTCCCTCGGTCGACGTCAGGGCGTGACGTGGTGCGACGAGCGCTGCGCTCGCCGCGTCTGCTCGCGCCACCTGCTGTCGAACGAGAGGGAGAGACCAGCACGCGAGAGACGCCTGGAGAACGTCGAGGAGGAGCGCGCGACCCTGGGTTTGGTCACGAGGCTTCCTCATTTACCCCTTCCCTTTCGCGCAAGGCGCAGCCGCGTCCGCGTCTATCGCTGTCTTTCTCTCCCTCTCTCTCCGAAACAACGTACGGCCCCGGACTGAGCATTATTCAAGCGCTCCTTTCGAGCGGTTTTGCGCATGTAGGAGTCACGTGCTTTCCAAGCCAATTAGGTTAATTTATGCACTGGCTTCGTTGGCCTTTGAAGCCACCCGTTTCGCTCACACGTTTCATCCTCTCTCTCTCTCTCTCTCTCTCTCTCTCTCTCTCTCTCTCTCTCTCTCTCTCTCTCTTTTTCCGTTTCTCTTTTTCTGTTGCACTTCTTCTCATTTCTCTCGCTGTCCTTTTCTCTTTTTCTCTCTATATACTTTTTCTCTTTTTATCTCGCTACCCTTTCTCTCTCTCTTCGCGCCGCCTCCCTTCCGAATTGACTTGGAGGAACTAGTGAACACAGGGTTTAGTGATGTGATCTTTTTTTTTTTTTTTGGCAGCTTGTATTGCCAAACCGCGAGGATCGTGTCAGACGGGCAATGCATAGTTTCTGAATAGTATTGCGTGAAATGTAGAACATTTTTTAAACAATTATGTAATTAAAAACTTCCCCAGATTATTTCTTTCAATTTTATCCTCTTATGTATCAACGGATGGTATAAAAATGCGGTTGGTCCCATTTTCGGGAACATTCTGTTCTTTCGAACATTGCAAAAGATTAACACTGCAAAATTTAAAGAGAAGTATAATAATGAAATAAAATCTATAACATCTGTTTATACTGACAGTTTCAACGCATTATGCTCTATTATATTGCATACTAAAAAATAGTAACTATTCAAGATGTCGCTAATGAGGTTGAAGTGTATGCAACAATTCGTACATATTTTTAACTATCCCCTTAACTGACCAATTATGAAACGAAAGGCGGTCCAAAATTTCTTTTTTTTTCTTTTTTCTTTTTTTTTATTTTAATATTTCGAATACTGAATACAATGATATTTTTTGTATTCCAGCATTATAAAAGAACCTATTCTGTTGCAAGAAATCGTTCTTAATCGGTAATTTTAACACACAAATTATGACGTATTATATATTATGTCACGAATGACTGCGGTATCACACATTCAGCCAATTGCAGCGAGAGAATCGGGGCGAGATAGAGCTAAACGGAACAGCCGACCACCGTTTACTCGCACGATATCAAATAACATACGTAACGGACGTAAATGTAGCTTCACTATGCGCACGTTTTGTTGAACTCTCCTTTTGCTTGCAACGGTAAGAGTAGAGGTAATGGCGAGTTACTATTTTGTTCGCAATGCAGAAAAAGTATCTTGCAATTCGTTTACCGATGCAAGTAAGTTTTCGATAACTAGGAATCGAAAATGTCTATTTTTCAAATATTGTCAATCTTGCGAATTTTAAAATTTATTTTTATTCATGTTAAACTTTTACTCATCTTTCAACTATTTATAGTTAAAACGACGGATTCTGGAACTCAAGAAAACGTGCGCAGATAATCATCTTCCCCATACGTCACATAGTTTTTACTGTTTTTTTTTTTTTTTGACTAAATAAATCTAATCTAATCTAATGGTATCTTGATTCGGCCTTTGTATTCTTTCTCGTTGCGTCGCGTACTCGACTGCACATCCGCAAATTCTCGTAGGATTCTGCTTCTTTTCTGTAAAAGTAATCAGCAAAGGGAAATGCCTACCAACAAGACGTCACGGTTGGTACTAGTGGAGGAACGTCCTGATGACTGGTGAGAATTCCTGCCCGTAATGTTCGGCCGTCAACTTCTCAATCACCGCAATGCTAAAATCAATGGAATTTTTTCTGTCCTCAGTTTTTGAATACAGCACAAATGTATTCCACAAGGCTAAATCGAAGAGGTACAAAATATTTTTGTAATATTTTCCCCTATTTTATGAGAGATAAAATTGTTGCTAAATGATGGTCGACCCTTATCAACTCCTCCCATTGTGTCATAATGATATATCACCTGTTGGCTTCTGTATCTGTTTCTCTCTTGTGTTTTCACAGTTTTCAATTCTGAATTTAGGATATTGCTCAACAAAGAAACATCACGCTTATCTATCTTTCCACCTCATCGCAGTTACTTTACCACTCTGATAAGCAATAATTTGACCTTTCTGAAGACTTATTGCGAAATCCTGAAAGCCTATCTTTCCTAGACGTTCGCACATTGCCATAAACTTCGGTTCTTTGAAGAACAAGAAAGTCTGCTAGCTCCGGAAGTGAAACAATTGTCGATTGTTTGATAGTAACCTCTCTTGAGAATAGGTTTAACGACACTCAACAGAGGCATTAATTCAATAGGACTGACAGGACCATGTCCGGGGGCCCCGGGCACACTGGGACAGAAGGGGGTCAAAGTGGGTCAAAAATATTAAAATCAAGTCATGTCTTAAAATATTTGATCATGATGAATGGATTGTAGACATTCTGGAGCATATCGGATCGTTATTGCTTTTTTAAAAAAAACATTTTGTATTCGAGATTAGGCAGCAGTGAATGCAAGCATACGAATATTGTAATAATGAACCAGTTTTCGTAATCGGATCCAGTAGAACTGTTGTGGACAGAAAAAAATAATAAAACTATCTGTATTAGAGTTTATTAAGAGCATTGTAGATATTTCTGTTTTTTCTGAGAACTACTTGAACGAATTATCAATCAACGTGGATACTTTTCGTAGTAATTGTAAGATGATGTTGCAGAAATGTTATCGTATGATATATCGTTCCGAAGGGCTCTATAAGGATTGGTTAGAGAAATATTTTAAATTACCAGCTCTTAAACAGTAGTCCTCAAACAAAAATTACAATGTTTAAGCTAGAAAAAAATGGAATTATATTTTGAATTTAGATTTAAGTTAAAATGGTTAGTGACCAAATGATACAATTTCCACAGTGAGCTTAAAACGTTAAAAAATTTTGTTGGGCTTAGCTGGTGCTTAATAAAATCACTTGTTAAATACACGAAATAATGAATATGATGTTCAATAGAAAACTACTTTAATGTTAGCGTCAGTTGATTACATACAATTTTTCCATTTCATAGATACATAGGTAGAGTGAATGTAACTCTCATTATCTGAAACACACTTACTATATTGGAATAATGACTATTAACACTTTAAGACAAAGTAACTAATTGAAAATTTTATGAAATATTACTTCTATACCGCTGTTTTGTGATAACGTTTACGATAACGATTTTCTCGAGTTCTAATTTCTTTTTCAATTTTTTACAATTTTTTCCCATCAGTCCCATGATGGGGCCCCATGACTTGGGGGGAGGGGGGGCGAACGCCCGGTCTGCCCATACCTAGCGCCGGCACTGCGAAAAAGCACAAAATCTTCAATCAAAAGATCCTGCAGGTGTTGCGGAAAACTTGCCTCTGTTATTGTCTTTGCGGATTTCATCAAGGAATCAAATTTCAAAACTAAGATCTGTTAAAAATCTTGCAAGCATTAATAATTGAACATTGCTCTTTATCAGGATTCGGATTCTGATGGCATGTCATCTTTCCGTTGGTGCATTCTAGGCGAAGCTGTCTTGTAAATGAATGTTTATACACGTAGGTGATAGAAATGTATAGTTATTGAGACATGTTTGGTCATTTTTGCCATTTTTCATTGTTTATGTCATTTTTTGCACCTTTGCATCATTTCCACGTACTCTGCCATATTCCACAAGCTCTTTTTCACAGAAAATTTTTTGAGTTTTTCAAAAATTTCATTGGAAGTCTTTACAGCACCTGATCTCAGAAATGCAATAGGGTTTACAAATCGCTGGAAATGTGGTTATTAACTGTGTGAGAGATTAAAAAAAACAAAAACATTTGTGTGATTTTTGAAAAAACAAACGAATATCCCAAAATCAACTTTATGTCATAATAAACAGTGTATTTAGCACTATCCGTACAAAATGTTCGGAGCTATTCGAAAACAAAAGATTTCTATGAATAATAACTTTAATTTCGCTTTTTCAGTAACGCTTAAACGTCATTTTCTTTGAAACGGCTCCAAAGGTTTCAACAAAAATTTTCTTATGTGACGAGGTTTCACTTTTCTAATATTCTTAAAGTGATATTTCGATTCTACCGTAATGTACTTTGGGCGGCGATAGATGGTAATTGGAAACGAAAATAGAAAACTAACTAGTAGGAATGTGCCACTTGTAGCAACACAAGTTATTTTCTCGTATACGTACGTATATACGTAATGTAGAGAATGTAATGTAATGTAATGCTGCGGAATATCTATTTCGAGTTTTCAACGGTAATACTGTAACACGTGTTCAGGTCCCCTGATACAGAATCTTTTTTTCTTTTCAAAACATTGGTCCGTCTGGTGTAGGTGAACAACACTAGCGCCTAAAGTGTGTGTACGATTTCTTCCAAACTGAATAAACCCTTGCCGATGAGGCCTGAGTCGAAGCTCTGCGATTTTGAAAAACATTCATTAATTTTTTTACATGAAGCTCTCGGGACATTTTCAAAATTGTCTTAAAAATTGCTCAACTTTTTTCTTTAAATTTTTTGTGAAGAGTGAAGTACATTTAAAGATGGCATAGGTCCTATTTTCACTTATAACTCTGAATTTCTGAGAATTGCAAGCGATTGACTTTTTTTCGCGTCTTCCTACAAGAAAGTTGAAGATAGACATTTTTCTTTTAAGTAATTTTTTTGTCCTTAATTAGTTGTTTCGTTTAGGTCA